AGTTGCTAGAACAACTTTCTGGTTGGAGTAGCGAAGGCATGAGCGTAACTGGTTTGGAAATGGAACGGGACCTCTTTGTGAACATGATTTTCTGATGCGGTTTCCTGCAGTAATGAGAGACTGATCTCAAGACCCCTGGTCCCTTCCAGCCCTGGGTCCCATGTGCCCATGACTTTGACGGGAGTCAGATTGCCCAACGGTGTCCTGTCTGACACTGCTTCAAATGACGCCTTGACTTCCAACCAGAAAAAGCAGTCACACCACACACAGGGTGCTGCGTAGCAAATCAGTTGCTTTAATTTATTGTCGAGTCCAGCCCAGAGCAGAGTTTACATGAGAGCAGCTCACTGGGAGACACGGTGGGGTGTCTATTCTTTGAAGTCAACCGCGACTGGCTGCCTTTATAAAAGATCTGCCATAGCCCAAACAGGCGTCGTGGGCTTGACATAGGCATTATTAGCTGAAGATCTGTGGCCTGCGCTCTGCAAGAGATCAGACCAGCCAAACTCTTCTGATCTTCCAGCCTCTGATTCATTCAGCCAGTTGTCTTTTTGTGGCCACGACTTATAACCCCTTCTCCTGATGTGCTGATAATCGGCTATAAGGCACGCTGCTCCTGTCTATAACATGCTTGTAACGGCCGTGAGCCGGGACTTCACCCTTTGCAGACCACTTCTAGATGGATAAGTGATATCAAAAGTTGCCTGAAACCCTGGAAATCCATTTCCAGGGGCAAAGCATTGACTAGGGACTTCTAGCAAGCCTTAAGCTCCTCCCAGATAATCATTATCTGCCCGAAGGACATGGGGTGGTGTTGCAATGTGAACTGGTGTCCCAAGGAAAGCGGCTGAAGCTGGACCACTGGGCATGCTGGAAAGTCAACTAGACAAAGCACTCAAAGCAGCTTTCCTGGAAAGCACAAGTTGCTGGGCTTGGTGTTGGGTCCCCGATTGAGGCGTAAGGACCAGAGGTGGTCAGTCTACATGAGCTTATGATCACTTCTGGCCTTAAACTCCATGACTCATATCCTAATGACCCGGGGGTAGTCGTGGAGCGATCAATTGACTTTCTCCATCTCCTGCCTCTCTCTGAATTCAGTTTGCTGGAGGAACATTGTCCTCTCAAAGAGCTGTGCAACCACCCCACACGCTCGGCCACTTAAAAGAAATAATAGCCGAGCCTCTGCTTCTTTCTCTCCCTTGCGTGGGGAGAACCGTGGCTTTTCAGAGGAGAGAAAGGAAAGATTGCTCTTAAATTCCCCAATCAGATGTTCCTCGGGGTGTTTCCATGGCAGCCAAAACACCCGTCCGCCGGCACTGCTCGAAATAAATAAGTCCGTGTTCACCGTGACGTTTGCTTCGCTCCTCCAACTCGGAGCAAAGTTTGCTGGGATTTGCCAGGGAGAGCGAGCCGAGTGTTTTTGCCCGTGCGCATATTTGTTCTCCCAGGCTCCTCTGGCCAAATCATGGGAGCTCATCCCTGGAAATCAAAGAGAAGACAGTAGCTGGAGAAACGGGAAGGACATCAGTTTATTCAGACCAACACGCAAATTGTATTGGCTTGGGGGAATGGGAGGAGAGCCAGGCTTGTTGCAAACAGAGTTAGATGCCAGGTCACTGCTCTCAAAGGGATCCTCATTCCTGGGAATCTCATGTATTTGTCATGCTTTTGCAAATCCAGCGAGAGGCCATGGAGCAACCCTGCCCGTGGGAAGGGCTAGATGTGAGGTCTTTTCCATCACACGAGCTACTGCGGCTGTTGGTGTTCACCTACATTTCAGTATCACCCGGCTCAGGTTGGGGCTACATACTGAGTACAGACCCCTAGGAAGGCAAGTCAGTGGCCCGCACAGCTTACCATCCAAGGGATCGCCTCGCACAGCCAGCTTCTGCCGTGTCTTGGGCTTTTGCTGTGGAAAGCAGTTTTTCACCCGCAGCTTAATCATGTCAGGATCAGGGAGCTTCAGCCATCAGCCTGATCAGCAGTGCAGAGCTGGGTGCCCCATGGACCCAATCCTTCATGGCGATGCCACAGAAGGGGCATCTCTGTGATGCCACAAATGTACTTCAGGTCGTGGTGGGCATGGATGGTCTTGCCCGTCTGCTGGCCTGTGCACCCAGATGCCCTGGACATTGAGCTGGGCCACTCCTTCACAGACAGCAAGGCTGCACTGAGCTAATCCTTTGCCCCCAGGTCAAGTTTGGGGACATTGAGGATGTGCTAATTGTGCCAGCCCTTTGCTGTCTTGCGGTGACCTCTTCCAAGCCCCTCATTCCCTGCTTTGATCCTGTAAGGTGCTCAGCTTGCACGCACGGCTTGGAAGACCTCAGGTTGGAGTTGGGAGCCAGGACTTTAGAGTCGACAGCTGTGAGCCTGACCTAGGGCTGAAAATAGGCCTCTTCCCATGCTTGTTTGCTACCCTTGGTGGGAATATCACTTGGACCATCCCTCTGGGCCGGCTTTAGCCTATGCTGAGTGGCCAATTATATGCGACTTGCAGCTGAGCAGTGGGATACAAGGGGCAGGGCTCGACCTCGTCCTAGCTTTGTGTATTGACTGTCAGCCCAACAGCTTCTCCTTCCCTGTGGAAATACGCCCAGGACAGGTGTCAAGCCCACACCTGTAGAAAGGCAGCTGCTTTATTAGTAACTTCTCACTCCAGCTGAATCCCCACTGCAGGCACTGGGAAAGTGAGCCCGGGACAAGGTCTGCACAGGAACTGAGCAAAGGATTAGGCCTGGGAGATTGTAGCTTGGCCAACAAAAGAGACAGTGGGGCAGACATACGTTATGTCGAGGAAAGAAGCCTGAGATGGGCTTGCTCCTGGCCAGGCCTTTGTAAACTGGCTCTCGCCTGTGGCCCGGTTCTCTGGAGAGAAGTAAATGTTGGGAAGTTTGGCTGGAAAACCCACCTCCCCGTCACAGACAGTTCGCCCTGACATGTAGGGAGAAAAGACCTCTTTGGCCTTTCAATGAGCCACCGTTTTTCTTTTAACGTTGTGACCCCTGCATTAATCTCCCCGCCTGCTTCCTCCCCTGTCCTCTCTCCTGCAGAAGGCGGTGGGTGGGAAGAAGGACCGCTCGCTCTTCCTCTTCACGGACCTGCTGGTTTGCACCACGCTGAAGCGCAAGTCGGGGTCCCTGCGGCGCAGCTCCATGAGCCTGTGAGTACAGCGGCTGTCAGCCTGTGGGGCACGGGGTGTCTCTCCTGCTGGGGCTGGTCTCCAGTCCCCTACATCCTTCCTGCCATGGGGCTGTGAGATGGGATATGGGGCAGGGGCTCAGTGCTCTGCTTGCAGGGTGACGAACCGTACATGTACCCACAGACAGCGGGTTTCCCCGTCCCCGGCCATCATCCTGGAGCAGCACTGGCTCTAACTCTGAATTGTGGGGGTCATGGATTCATAGATATTTGGTTCAGAAGGGACCTTGGCAGCTCATCAAGTCCGACCCCCTGCCCTGGGCAGGAAAGAGCGCTAGGGTCAGACGACCCCAGCCAGGTGCCTGTCCAGCCTCCTCTTAAAGACCCCCAAGGTAGGGGAGAGCACCACCTCCCTTGGAAGCTGATTCCAGATTTTGGCAACCCTTACCATAAATGCCACATCGAGGGGAAGTATTGCCTCCCTGGACCTGTTTGTCATGCACCTACTAATGCATGATAAAGTGCAATTAGCTTTACTGATCACTTCGTCACATTGACAACTCATGTTCATCTTGGAGTCAGCTATCACTCCGAGATCCCTTTCCGCTGCGATGCTGCTGAGAGGGTCCTCCCCCAGCCTGGAGGCGTGCTGGTGGTTCCTTCTCCCCAGGTGCAGCACCTTGCACTTGTCCTTATTGAACTGCATCCTATTTTGTTCCACCCACTTTTCCAACCATCATTCCAGACTCAGGAAGGGACACCTCAAACCCGGGAAGGTCCTGGTCACCCCTGCTGACCCCGTTGGCCCATTTCATGTAGCTGCAATTCCAGCTCACGGGTGCTCCCTCAGCACCATGCAGAGCTGCACTATGGGTTTGTGCCTTCGGCATGCATTTGAAGCAGCGACTTGGGGGGGATCTCTTGGGTAAAATTTCTGCCTGTGAACATAGGGGAATGGACTTAACAGCCCAGAAGGCCACTTCCAGTCCTGTGCTTCTATACCTGGTACCCGCATACACATGCACGTTTGTGTGCTCATGCTGTCCTTCCTCCCCCAGCATGCTGTCTCATGGCTTGGGAAGTCATTTCATTTCTGTTGCCCTGGCAGAAACCACCCCTTCCCTGTGGTGCAATGGAAGACTGGTAGATGGTCCCTGCTAGGCCTTCGAGCCCCAGCACCATCACAGGGCATGGAAAACCTAGCAAGTTCATGAGGGCTGGGAGAGAAGGGGGTGCAGTGCTGCAGTGGTTTTTGGGGTGGCAGAGATGCCCCCTCCCTCCATCTCTGCCCATGACTGCAAATGCTCAGTACTGCATAGCATCAGGCCACCATGCCCAGCTGGACTATGCCAATCTCTCCTCCTCCTCCCCCCCTCCCTCATTCCCCATTACTACTCACAAGCAGTGCTGCTCACCAACCCCACCCCCTTCCATCACCCTCCCTGCAGTACTGTCCTATGGGGCCTATACAGACCCATCTGGGATGGGATGGGGGCTACAACATCAGGGGGGCTAGGGCCAGGGCTGGGGCCCCTCTCAGGCAGAGCAGAGTAGGGTGGTTGGAGGTGTAAAGAGGGGGATCTCAGATGTATTTGGTAGCCGTGTTGGTCTGGGACAAAAAGAAATGCAAAACTCTCTAAAACGCTTGGTTCAGAGATAGCACCTTTTATTAAACCAACTAAGAAATTACAAAAAAAAAATCTTTTTCTGCAAGCTTTCGGGCACATGCACCCTTCCTCAGGCTCAGGGAACATTAAAGATGGTAATAGGTAGAAAATAAACTTCATTTTTGCACAGAGGAAGCTGAAGGTGGAAGTCTGTTGCTCTGGATCCATGAGAGGGGAATCACGGCACTGGGTGGGGGACAGGCGGGGCATCCCGAAGGCTAAGGTCAGGCCTGCTCCACATCCCGGCGGCAGACCCCCGGTGCAGTCTCAGTGTTCAGGCAGAGAGGCAAGAGATGGGCTTGAGAGCGGGGACCCTGGACACTGGCTTGGTCTGGGCCAGGCAGGCCCAGCTGACTCTGCTTATGATTTCAGTTCCCGCTCTCTTTGCCTTGCCGAGTTTGCCCCCTAGCGCTCTCGCTCATGCCCGCACCCCAGGTGATAGCTCCTTCTCTTCCTTCTCTTTCAGCTACACGGCAGCCAGCGTCATAGACACTGCCAGCAAGTACAAGCTGCTCTGGAAGCTGCCCCTGGAGGACGTGGACGTTGTGAAAGGTCTGTGCTGCGTTCTTGCCTAGCCCTTGTCGCACCCGCGGGCTTCAACTGAGGCTCAGTCCCCAGGTTGCCGCCTTCCAGTGAAGGGCAAGGGAAACAACCACGACTCAATTCAGGCTCCTTCCCCTCTCAAGCTAAAGCAACCGGCTCTATATTGCTGCCGAGATGCAGGTTCTGCTGGGGTTTGGGGCTCTGCTAATAGCCTGCTTCATGGGGGTCCCTTACAAGCGACTTACTCAGGTCTGGATTTAAATACTGTAGTATAGGAGCTGTGTATGTGTCCCATTGCCATCTGCCAGAGGGACTCAGAGCAGCCCAACTGCATCATAGTGTCTGTACTGCCTCCAACTGCTGGTGAGTCTCCCTCAACTCAAATAACAGCTGCCTTTGCATTGGAGGGTCCTCCCAGCATGGGTGGAAGGGGAGAGCAAGGGACTTCATGAACCTGGCTCATCCATCTAAGACCGAGGCTCCACATCCAGATTCAGCTAATCCTTCAGTGCCAGATGGGGCAACAGCTCCCAGCCGGGAGATTCACGGATTGACAAAAGTTTAGGGCTTATGTGCCAGCATCTGCAAGCTAGAGCTCACACACATCCTCACGTATGCACATGCACATACATGCTCATCTGTGCATACACATTCAGACATGCACACACACACACACGGCCCCCCACATGCCCAGTCGGTGGATAGAGCCTCCTGACTTGGGTATAACTCAGAGCTGTGGGGTTCGCCAGTCTGTCAGGGACTCTGCCACATGGGAGATGCTGGGTGCATGGCAGGCAGTGCTGACCTCAAGGAGGTCTAGCTTGCTGCAGGTGTGGACAGGCTCTGCAAGTGCTGAGTGTGCGAGGCTGGGAGGGAGTCAGGCTGCAGGGCACTAGCTTGGCATCTCTTCTTGGGAGCCCGTTAACCCTCTGGGAGTGGGGATCCAGTGAGGGGCAGGGCCTGAGAAGAGACCCCAGGGTACTGTCCGGGCTGGTCCTGCTCTGAGCCCGGGGGCAGTGACCTTCACAGGGCAGTAGAGAATCCAGGGGGCAGGGGGTCCTAGGACAGCTCTGCCTGCATCCAGAGCCCCATGCAGCGCAGTGCTGGCCTGGTACCCTTGTCTACCCGCCTTGCTCCATCAGCCTTGACCCACCCTGCTATTCTATCTGCAGGGGCCTCCCAGTCCACCAACCGCGAGAGCATCCAGAAAACCATCTGCCGCCTGGACGAGGACCTGAGCACGCTGGGCCAAGTCAGCAAGCTCTCCGAGACTCTCAGCTTCCCCCACCAGGTAAGGAGCCCCCTGCCACAGCTGTAAATTAACCTTCTTCAGGCCTGGTAAGGCTGCCTTCACCAGAGACAGTCTGCCCCAGATACACATACTTGTGCCCAGCATTTTCCCATCCTGAGCTCCCTACCAAAAGCTCCCTCTCTGCCAGCCACACAAGTCTGGTACAGGCCCGGGCTCCCAACCCCCAGAGGCTTGTCAGCCCCGCATTACGGATAGAGATTCAGTGGCTTGTCCACGTGGAAAACTAATCCGAATTGACTTACAAGGTGAGTTAATTAAATCCCTTTAAATCTGTGTATGGGCGCTCTTATTCTAAGTCCCTTGCTATGCATTACATATATTACACAATATTACACAATTAACTGGTGAATCACACAATAAATTTCGACTGGCCACATATGTAAAGTAATTATCACACAATTAAATGCTTAAAGTTAGATGAGCCACATGTGCAAAGTAACTCTCACATGATAAAAATGACTCTCCAGCTAGAATAAGAGCTGACCAGCTATAAAGTTAGCACTTGAAAATGTTTCAAAACTCTAGAGCTGATTTCTACCCAGCTTTAATTTGAACATGTAGCAGGGCCCTAAAGTAACCTGCTATAAATGCAGTTCAATTCCTCCACCCTTTTAGTTAATCCAAATTCATTTTCCTGAGTATCCCCATGCAAACAAGCCATAGAGAATTAAATGACTTGCCCAGGCTTGCACAGGGTGGCAGTGGCAGACCCCAGGTCTCTCCATTTCCAGTCCAGTGCTGTGAGGGTTAAAAAATCCTTCTTGCTCTTGTCCACAGAGCCTGGACGACGTGATCAAGGACCTGATGGCTGCCATCCACCGGGAGCTGGCCGAGAAGCAGTCCCTGTCCTTCAGCATGTCCTTCCCACCCAACAAAGTAGAGCTCACCACCACCAAGGCTGACGGCACCGAGTCCTTTGTCTTCGAGTTCCCCAACCCCGATGCTCGGCACAGCTTCGAACAGGCTTTTGAGGATGCCAAGAAGAAGCTGGGTGAGCAGGGGCTGGCCAAGTGGTCCAGGGCTGCCGGTGGGAAGGGTCCTGTTGGGAATTGGATCATAGGTGCCATGAGGGTGTTGGTTGTAAGAATCAGCACTTTCTTGGCTCTGAGTCAGCTAGGCAGGGCTTGGTTGGGTCAGTATCTAGATGGGAGGCCCCTGAGGAAAGCCCCAGTAGAAAGCTGCAGTGATTGGGATTTGGAGCCAGGGTACCATGAGGGTGTTGATTTTAAGTCAGCAATTTGTACAAGGAGCTAGGCATGCTCAGCACGTGGAAAAGGCATTCAGGATGGGACATGGTATCAGTCTTCAAATACCTCAAGGGCTGCCATAAAGAAGAGGGAAAGCACCTTTTCTCTCTTGCTCCAGAGAGCAGGATGCAAACCAGTGGCTTAAAGCTGCAGCAAAGTAAGTTCAGATTGGATATCCGGAAAAAATGCTGCTTTGCTGTGAGAATAGTGAGGCGGCAGAATAGACATCTAGGGAAGGGTGGACTCTCCATCACCAGAGGTGGTCAGGAAGAGGTTGGACAGCCACTGGTTGGGGATGGTCTATGCCTGTGTTCTGCTGTGAGTATTTCCCAGGCTTGTGGTCTTTGCTAATGGCCCCTGCCCACCCCGTCCACTGTCGGGTGCAAGTGTCAGGGTGTTTTTAAGCCTCCCTCAGAAGCATTGGTGCTGGCTGCAGCCAGTGCTGGGGATTTTGGCTGAGGTGTACCAGTGCTCCTGCTGGGACTCAAACCTGGAGGATCCTAGCTAGAGGGTCTTGCTCCTCTGCTCAAGGTCAGACCAATACCACATTTGGGGTCAGGAAGGAATTTTACCCCATGGTCAGACTAGTACAGACTCGGGGGGAGTGGGTTGCCTTCCTCTATAGTGTGGAGTATGGCTTCTACTTGGGATCTCTTGAGCATATATTAACAACCTTTTACAGGTGCAGGACATTAGCTGCCGTGGTGCCCCTGCTTTACCTGTGGCAGGTTTGGGTGTGATGTCTTGTGTTTTATGTAGTTGACTGTATGAAGGGTTTATATTGTGGATTTGTCAGGGGTGGTTTGGATAGGGCTGACCCTGCTTCAGGCAAGGGGTTGGACTAGCTGTGACCTCTGGAGCTCCCTTCCAGCCTTACTTCTTTATGGTCCAGAAGGTGGAGTCCTGCATCCTGAGTCTGTACGAAACCACAGCCCCAGCATGGTGTGGGGGTCAGTTTACGATTGACAGGTTCTTGAAGATCTGTTTTCCTTTGTGCTTTGACCAGATACCAGCCCGATAAAGCATATTCCACCCACCTCGTTCCTGTAGTTTCAGCGCAGTAGTCTCCAACCCTACAGTTTTGTTCAGTGTTGCTGCGTGCTGTTAAGCAGCTCCTGCATTCCACCCCAGAGATGGCTGCATGTCAGCATTGGTCCTAGTTTATTTGGCTTGCCAGGCTTTCTGGCACAGGGGAGGTGGCTGCACGGGGACATCATCACTGTTATATCCGCAGCCTCCCTGATAGTGTCTCTCTTCTTCCCATCCAGCTTCCAACAAAAACTGCCTGGACCCTGAGTTCCTGAAGGCAATTCCCATCATGAAGACACGCAGTGGGATGCAGGTATGTTGGCCCCTGGGCTTTCCTTCCCCCAGGCCCTGTCTGGTCTTGTGGTGGGATCTCTAGGAGTTAGCAGCTCAGTTGGACTGTGGCCCTGTCCCCTCCAGTGTCTGAAATACCACAGCTGAGGATGGGCTGCTGAGAGCAGGTTTCCTTTGCCTAAAGCAGTGGTTCTCAACCTTTTTAGACTCAAAACACCCCTGGATAGACTCACGGTGCCCGTGGTTAGACTCGCAGCACCCCTCAGAAAATACCAGCTCTTAGTCTTCACTCTCTTTTTGACTATAGAAAAATAATGGGGCAATTTTCCCGTTGCAAAGAACTCAGAAAGACTACAACCATGGATTTCTGTTTGAAATCTGGTGAATCATGTTTGCACATATAACCGTGATAACATTGCGTGGTGTCCCGCAGCACCCCTGAAAGGCTCTCAAGGCAGCCCAGGTGCCGTGGTGTCCTGGTTGAGAATCACTGGCCTAGAGTCAGGATAAGTGGCAGCTTGCCACTAGCAGGCATGGTGCTCCCCAGAGGTGTCCAATCAGGCTATCACCATGTTTGGGCTGAGAGACAAACCCTGGTCCTTATTTCTTCTGGTCATTAAAGAGTCTGTGCAGCATAGGAGTGCTAGCTGTGGGGTCCCAGCCAAGCTCCCCCTTGCACTTCCAAACGGATGCTGCATTTCTCTGCACTCCTTGTCCCAAACCTCTGTGCAGTGTTTGAGGGGACGTGATATAGTTGTTTATGTTCCACCCCAGAGGTGGCTGCATTCTAGGGTGACTGCAGTGACCCCCCAGGCATAATTTGGGGTGAACCCGGGGAAGGAAGAGAGGCTGTTTTTATTCAGCATCACCCTCCCTTGCTGCTTTTCCATGCTGAGGCGCTCACGAATCTCCTTTCAGTCCATTTCTGATCTAATCTGGCTCTTCCGTGTCTCAGTTCTCCTGCGCCTCCCCCAGCCACAGCGGCCCCGAGAGCGCCTTTGAGGTGTGGGTGTGCAACAGCGATGGCTACGTGGGGCAGGTCTGCCTCCTCAGCATCAAGAAGGAACCCACAGTCGAGGCCTGCATCGCCGTCTGCTCAGCCAGGATCCTCTGCATTGCCTCCGTGCCAGGCCTCAAGAGGATATACAGGTAAAAGACCCCACACAGAGGCCAAGGTGTGGGGGCCAACATCATTTGCCCCCTGAAGTGTCTGAACAAGCTTAAGATCCCAAGGATCAGGGCCCAAAAGAGGAAGAGGGGGTCACTAGCTGAGACCTGGGTTGTAGTCGCCCCTGTTCTTACACTGACTGCGTGTGTAGCCTTGGGTAAATTGCTTGGCACCTTTGTCCCTCAGTTTGCTCACCTGTTCGATGGGGTCCATAGCCCTGCCCCATGGTACAACAGGGAGATGAGGAGATATCCACTAGAGATGGAGGAGGCGGGTGACTAGCCCCAGTACTGAGCTGAGCAGCACCAGCACCATTAGTCCAGCCTCTTTGGAGAGTTTAGACACTTTGGAGAGTTTAGAGCCCTTCCCTGGCTTTCTGGGAAGATGAGGAAGGACAGAGTAGCCATGTGTCCATAGGACAGCTGTGACATACAGCTACCAGCCTGTGGGAGGTGTGGAGTGCCGCGCTAGTACGGTTTGATCCTTGAAAGGAACCAGCTTTGCTTCCTGGGCAGGGAGATGGTATCACCCCCGTTTAAAGGAGGGGAAACTGAGGCACAGAATCTCTCCCAAGGCCACAGGACAAGTCAGGGGCAGTGCTGGAGCTGGAAGCCAGGTCTCAAAGTCCCATGTGGTGATCTGCACATCCAGCTCACTGGGAGCTGAGCAGTGCAGCCACATCAGGCCTGTATCCTTCCTGCCGCCCCTGCCTTATATTAGGGTCCAGAATCCCAGTTTCACCTCAGCTTTTGTCACTTCGCTGACAGGGATCGTCCTGAGTCACTGGTGAGCCCTTCCACCGAGCCGGCTCCTTCGGCGCTGGATGATGCGGGGCCCCAGCAGTGCCTGCACATCTCCATCTCCGGCTCCTCCCTGGAGCTCTCAGAGCCTGTGGACAGCGCCAACCGGGAGCTGATGCCTTTCGACAGCGATGACACAGATGATGAGTCCTCGCCCAGCCCCTCGGGCACCCTCCAGAGCCAGGCCAGCCACTCCACCATCTCCTCCAGCTTTGGAAGTGAGTAGGCAACTCTGACACCATTGAGCCCTGCTGGGGGCTGGGAGCTGCCCTGGAGAGAGCCTGCCTAACAGTGCCCAGGGTCAGTGGGGACACCTTAAAGTTGCCAGGCCAAGCCCTCCATGGCTAGGGACCATCAGAATGGAGGCTGCCCATGTCACGCTCCTCCAGTCCCTTTGTATGTCATGATCATGGTCACTTTTAGACCCATGGGATGCTGCCTCACTGCACAGGAGAAAATACAGAAGGGGCTAGAATAAGAGTTGCAAAAGCATCTGTAAATCTGGGCTTTCCTAACTCCCAGGTGCTTGACTTTGCCACTGAAATAATGTTCCTCTAATGCCTTTTCTCCTAGGATGTGAGAAATAAACAGGTTCAAGTCCTGGATCCAGTGAAGTTAGTGACTGAAGGTCCATTGAGCAGGATCTGGATTTGGATTCCAGCTCCAGCATAAATCCAGAGTGACTCCACTAAGGAGGTGAACTCTGAGACCACAATGCCTCCCCTGCTCTGTAAAGGCCTGGGGGTTTGGTCTGTCAGCATGAACGGTGCTAGAGAAATGTTGCGTGCTAGAGAATGCTAAAAGCTACAGTCTGATTTCATATCATTCACAGCAAAGGCTCCCATCAGAGCCCTACTGGACCACACAGACATGGCATGAATATCACAGGCCATACTGTGCCCCAAGTGTAAGCCAAGGGTAGCACCCTCCTGCTCTGGGTCCCATGGCAAAAGGTACCACAGCTGTACTTTGAAATCAGTGAGATAATACTGGAGTCAGCTGGATTAGGCAGAGGTCATTTGGGTCATGCCAGAGTCACTCCAGCTTGCCTGTTCCAGATTTGATGCCAAAATGTACAAGGCCCGTGTGAATGGGTGCCTCTGTCACCTTCAGTCATCTGCATGGCTGTGTCTCTCGCCCCTTCACAGACGAAGAGATGCCAAGCTCCAAAGACGTGACAGCCGAGACGACCAGCTCCGAAGAGGAGCAAGACCCTGGCTTCCTCCCCATCTCTAGTGCTTTCAGTCAGACCAGGAACAGTGAGAGCCCCATGGACGGCCGGGCCATGCGGCGGTCGAGCCGAGGGTCTTTCACCAGGGGCAGCCTGGAGGACCTGCTGAGCACTGACCCCGAGGCCTATCAGAGCTCCATGTGGCTGGGCACCGAGGATGGCTGGTAGGTCAGCGGGGACTGGCCAGAGATGGGGAACCGGATGTGGGGCATACCCCAAAGCCACCAAGCTGCACTCCAGCCTTTCTGGACCAGTCCTTGGGCAGCATCTTGGATGGAGGCTGTATGAGAACCAGGATGCAGATGCATGAGTGATGGAGAGGGGGCAGCTAGGAGGACAGGAGCAGGGTGTGGAAGGCAGAGGGTATATCAGGACAGTCAGAGCTGAGCTGGTGAACAGCTGGGGTAAAGCCAGGCCCAGTAGCCCCAGCCCAGGCAAGAGGGACTCCATTGATCCCCCTGGCTCTGCACCTGTCTACACTAGTGAGAGATTTGTTCTTCAGTGTCAGGCCAAGGGATCTTGCCAGGTACAGGGGAACCTTGCTTCCAGCCAGCCAGATGTGCAAGGCCAGTCTGGGTCTGCTAGGTCAGGTTAAAAGGCTTGCTGACTTTTCCTGAAGGATGGAGCTGAGCTGAACGGTGGCCCTAGGTCAGAGCTGACAAGCTGCGGCTTCAGATAAAGCATGAGGCAAATGGTTTGCTTCTGCAGGGTGAGGTCTGATGAGAAGCCCTGGCAGCACGTTGTGAGCTGGTTTTCAGCTGCTGCTGGGGGAGCAGCCTGGTGAACTCTGAGCACACGTGTGCATGTGTGCCACATGTGCGCGTCATGCCCAGCAGCTTGCATGTGAGCAGGCACACCTTAGGCACCTGCCTGCTGCATTCACACATATGCACACGCCCTCTCCCCCAATCCACAGGCACAAAGCAACAGATCTGAGGGGTAGTGGCAGGGCTTTGCTGGTTGCTACGTGGGGCCGGGAAGGAATATTTTCCCCCTCCTGCTCCTACAGTTGTCAACTTGGGGGTGGAGGATGTTTGCCTTCCTCAGCAGCATTGGGTGCTGCCTGCAGCCAAGGCTGGGGATTATGGCTGGGCTGTGCCTATGCTCCTGCTGGGATTTAAAGCTGGAGGTTCCCGGCCAGAGGGTCTTGTTCCTTCGCTCAGGGTCAGACCCATTGTTGCATATGGGGTCAGAAAGGAATTTGGTCAGATTGGTACAGCCTGGGAGGGGGTTGCCTTCCTCTGTAGTGGGTCCATGGCCCTCTTGGGATCTCTCCAGCATATTTGCACCTTTTCAGCAGCAGGATGTTGGCCACCGTGGTCCCCCTGCTTTACCTGTGGCAGTTTCAAGTGTGATATCTGGTTGTGATGAATGGTTTTGCTAAGAGGTTGGACAGTGGATTTGTTTTATCAATGATCCTGTCTCAGGCAGGGGGCTGGACTCGATGACCTTGCAGTCCGACTTCTCTATGATTGTATGAAATGCTTGCAGGCTTTGTAACCAAGGCCTACCCTGGCATACAAAGGTCAGAAGAGACTCCTGAGCATCAGCATCTATACCAGTGTCCTGAGCACGGGTGTCTCATGCCGAGGCCTCTACCCCAGTCCCTTTCACCTGTGCAATAGGCAGAGAACACGCATATGCCAGCTATTGCCTTCTAGTACTTCCCCAGCACCAAAGCCCTAGGAGAGGCATAAGCCACACCCAGCAGGTTGGCAACAAGGCTTTTTTCTGGGCTTACCTCCTCCTACAGACAGGTCTCAGGCATTTAGCACTGTGCCCCCACCCCAAGCTGCTTCAGGTTCACTGCCTGCCTGTGCCAGCCATGAAGTCACTGATGTTAGCTGAGCCGACAAGGTCTCACCTCTCACCCACCTCTCTTCGTTTTCCAGCATCCATGTGTACCAGTCCTCAGACAACATCCGCAACAGGAAGAACAGCATGAAGATGCAGCACTCGGCCTCCGTCATGTGTATCCTGTAAGTGCAGGACCCTGCCCAGGCCTTTAGAGCTTGTTCTGCTGCTGAAAGAAGCAGCATAGAGCCTGGCTTTTGGATTAAGCACTGCAGAGGTCTGGGTTTATATCCTGCCTTTAACATCGAGTTCCTCTGGTGCTTTGGGCTGCATACCTGGTCTCTCCTGGCGTTCCTTCCCTGCCAGTCAAACGCCCCTCCTTTGCCCATCTTGTTCATTCAGACTGTCTTTTCTGCACAGGGATTACTTCTTGCTCTTCGTTTGCATACTTCATAGTGCACAACTATGGAGTATGCAAGTATATACTCTGTACTACATAGTGGCATCAGGGAGGGTGCATCGCCATCTAAAGACATGGAGAGGGTGAGAAGCTGAGTAGCTTGGCACTGGGAGGGTGAGAGATGGAGCTGTGCCATACTGGAGTAGCAACAGTGTAGGGGACACTGCAGCTGCACAGGGTGATATGTGAGAAACTAGGCATAGGAGATGGGAGGTATTTAGGGCCTCTGATGTGGGGCAGTTTGGTGGGGGAAGCAAGTTATCCTGGGAGGTGAGTGTCCTCTGCATTGGGGGGCGTCTCCTGCATCATGCTCACTGCAGGCTAATCGTCTGGGCTCTCTTTCCTCGGCAGGTACCTCGATAACCAGGTCTTTGTGTCACTGGCAAACGGAGAGCTCATTGTCTACCAGAGAGAAGCAGGTGGGTCACATGGTAGCAGGGCTGGATGCTCACACATGCCTAAGGCTCCAGTGCCCCCTGGCAGGTCACTGAGCCCCGTGAGTGTAGTCCAGAGGTGGGTTAGTAGTCGCAGCATGGCTAGACAGAGAGGGAGGGAAGAGGAACAGCCCATCTGGCCAAGACCACATAGTGGGTCCATATCAGAGCTGGGCAGAGGCACCGTGCTCCCAGCCCCTTGCTCTGAACACCCTGGGATGACATTTTCCAAAGCACCTGCTAATTTTGAGTGCCTACAGGCACGGGGGCCTGCTCCAGGCACTGGCAGTCACTGGCCTCTGAAAACATTGACCTTGCACTAAAGAATCCACTGCCCTTTCTATTAACTGCTGGAGACCCAATTTTCCCCTCGCTTCCTCTGGCATCAATTAGGAGCCCATACAACTAGACTGGTGTGAGGAAATGGAAGATGTGGCCCAGTATGACCTTTCTGCTACACAGGGCTGGGTGGCGTGGTGGCTGTGAGAACGACAGAGCCTCAGGTCCATTCACCCTGAGTTGGCAAGGGCTGGCCAGACCCCGTCCGGTCATTCACACCCATCTCCTCTCTCAGTCACAGTCTATTCCCACATGCTACGGTGGGGGTCAGGGTCTGAGTGCAGTTGCAACAGCTTCTGCTCCCTGTTACACCGGTTTGGACTGGGAGTTCATGTGCAGACTGATAGAGTTGCTCTGGAGTGGTGCTGGAGTAATGAACAGCAACATTTGGCCCTCTGGATGTCCACGGTTAGCCAAGACCAATTCCAGGAAGAGCTCACGTGTGAGGAGCGGTGTTGAAGCTGGAACCACGGGGTCCCAGAGTGCTCCGTGAGCATGTGAGAGGGGGCCAGGACACTGCTCCCCCAGTGCTGAATCCATGCACACTTTGCCAGAGGGCACTCCTGGGTCCTTTGGGGCTCTGTGCCCAGGAGGCTGGGGGCGGCTGAGCTGCAGCCAGGGCAGCTGGGAGTCACAAGGTTGGCGGTTATAGGTCTGATCTAGAGCAGCCTGGCAGTGTGGGGAGGTGGTGTCACCTCAGCCCAAAGGCTCGTGTCTCAGCCCTGCTACAGGTCTCCCTCAGCCAGGCCACATCCCCTCCTTGGACCTCAGCAATCCCTGCTGCACCACCCACCTCCCCAGGCAGAGAGCTCTAGGGTCTCCTTAGCAGGTGGTAAATGGTTTTTGCCATCCTGGCAGGGAAGCTGCAGGAGAGATGCATCCGTGATCATTCTTCTGTACCATTGGATGCATGGCATGGCCTGACTTAACCCGGTGCATGAGCCAGTGTGCTGGAGATTCACCTCATAATAGACCATGAACCCTGCCTCTGATGGGGGGAGGTAGCGGTGTCTCACTCCCCCCCACTACCGAGGCATCACATCACACAAACCTGTTCCTAAACTGGTCCAGCTTCTTAAAGAGGGGGAGCCCCTTGCACTCCTTTGGCGACTTCCAGACCCTTTGGGTGTTTGAGGCCAGCTAACACCCCTTTGGTCTTGTGCCCATGAGGTCCAGTGGCCTCCATCACTATTTGCCCCCATGCACAGGGGACCACTCAGAAGATGCTAGCTGTTTTCTGCCCTTCTCTCTCTCTCTTCGCAGGGCGTTTCTGGGACCCCCAGAACTCCAAGTCCCTGTCCCTGGGCTCGCCCGGGAGCCCTGTCACTAAGATGGTATCGGTGGCTGGGAAGCTGTGGTGCGGCTGTCAGAACAGAGTCATCATCCTCAACACGGGCACACTTCTCCAGGAGGTACCTACACCCCTTCCTCGTGACCGGGAGGATTAGAGCAAACAGCTTGGCAGGAGGGAGCAAGGGGTTAAGGACACTTAGGAGCCAATCCAGCCCCTAATGGAAAGGTCCCTATTGATGACAGCCCACTCTAGATCGTGGCTAGCATGCATCCAGTATCAGGTTGTAGCAGAGACTTGTGATCAGCTGCTGCATTGGTGTCACCTCTGGTTCTCCTTGGCTCTGTCACAGCAGCAAATGCTCTGAGAGCCTAGATGCATGATACATATTCCCAGTTTGCCCTGCAGGAACCCTACACGGTGCAGCAGTTACTCCAGAGGAGACACTGTTCTGCAGCAGATACTTACTCTGAGGAAGTCATGAGTACATTTACTGTGGAGAAAGTTACCCCGGTGTATGCTTTGTGTCTGCTGCCCCGACGAGTTCTGGGGTAGCCACTTGTTCAGTGCAAACCAGCTTCCTGTCTCCTCGTGGCCACGTGCTGGCCAGGACGAGGAGAGGGAGAGGGGTCTTGGGGGCTAAGCTCGTGACTGGGCCTCAGGACACCTGGGTTCCATCCTTGCCACAGTCACATGCAGAGGCAGGTTTTCAAGTGTCCTGTGCTCCCGAGTGCCCAGTCTGAGCCATCTAGGGCGTTTGTACATCATGTTTTTTGCCCTTTCTTGCATTGCAATGGCATGACTATTTGCACTAGCGGGATTTCTGGACCCTTTAAAAGTATTTTTGGTGCATTAAACTAAAACTCCTTGTATGTAGTTTAGTTTGGTAGTCGTGAATTAAAGCATCATGTCCATGGATTCATTGCACGCAAACACCAAGGCGCTCGGAGATGTGTAATGAGCCTCTTTGTCCACCAGGTGGTGCTGTGACTTTTTTGTAGTTCATCCCTTCAAATTGCTTTCACTTTCAAATTGCTGCCGCTTCTTTTTTTTTCTTGTGTGCTGGCTCCCTGCTCCCACAACTGCATGGCAGAGCACAGAGTGGGGGGCCCCAGGCCCAGGGGATAGCACGGGACTGTCCTCCTCTCCTGCGATGCTGGCCAGGGACCAGGCTAATTCATTTAGAAGCCTAGTGCGCGCAAACACTGATGTGACGCTGCAAAATAAACAAGTTTAAATTTTATAAACCTATTTAATTTAATGAGGATTAAACCCTGTGACATGTACAGGCACCCCTAAAGCTAAGGGTGTTTGCTTTCCCTCTGCCCTCACAGCACGCGTTCCAAATCGGGCAGGACAACAACCGCAGCGTGACTTGCATGGTGAGCTCCAGCCCTGGGATCTGGATCGCACTCCAGAGCAGCGCCCAGGTGCGGCTTTACCACGCCACCAGCTACGAGCAACTGGCTGAAGTGGACATCACGCCGCCTGTCCACAAGATGCTGGCAGGTAAGTCCTTCACCTCCCAGTGGCCAAAACCCCTGCGGGTGGCTCTGCACAGCTCCTACATCCAAGCGTGTGGTACTCAGCCCACAGGTTGCTCTTGGACTCCATGACTCAGGTTCTCCATGGACTAGGTTATTGCGGGGGGAGTTATGCAGGCATTGGGCATGTCTCTCCTACAGTCAGCAGACACTGGAGAGACTTGTAAGGTACTTCCCCACCCCCAGGATCTGTTCTACTGGACTGGAGGGTGTTTGCCACCATTCGCAGAGGTAGGTGCTGGGGCTCCCTGGTTAATCCTGATGTCTCCCATGACTTCTGAGCCAGCCAGGATGGAGCATCATGGCTCTGCAGTGTCACTGGGCATCTCAGTAATGAGCTGCTCTGAGGAGCACTGGAGAACGTCCCATCTGAGCCTGCTGGTGGAAGGAAGAAGGCCGTTTCAATGGGCCAGATATGTCATCCCAGCAGAGAGCCGTCCAGGGCTGGAGTCAGGCCCAGCAGAGATGTTTACTGACTGAGAGCAGCCTGTGGTCTCCACCCTGAGTGGAGCAAGGGGTATGCTTCAAGCTGCAGACTGTCCAAGCAGGACAGGGCAAGACAGGCCAGGGAAGTACTCTCTGTAGGGGCAAATGAGCAGGAGGCCACATGATCCATCCTCCTTCCCTTCCAGGGTAGGTTTCATTCCCAAATCCCTAACCTCTGGAGCTAGGCCTGAGCCCAGCCCCACAACACCCGCCCTCTGCACTTGTGGGACCGTGGGGCTGGTGCTCACAGGCAATCCCTTCCCAGTGCCTTGGAGAAAGGAGTGCTGCCATGTGCTGGAGATCCAGGCAGCCTGGTGACAGCTTTCCGTGGCCACATGGGCAAGGGACTGCTCAGGATTTGGAGGTGAGTCCCAGACACATGAGCAGTCCTGCCCTGGCTTTCCTCTGCCTGCCTCAGGTACCAGGGAAGCAACTGATTTCTGGGAAGCAAAATCCAGGACATGGTCCTAGACACCACACAAACCAGGAGGAGCCTGAGCCCCTCGTGGCTCCGGTGAGGGGAGGAGGCAGAGCCCAGACACCCGCTGCAGCATTTCTTGCTGAACCTGAAAACATCAAGGCCACATGCACACAGTGACAGCCACATTGTGCCAGATGGAGCAGGCCACCCAGCTGGGGCCTGCTTCCTTGAGGACACCGCCCCCAAATGGGGGCACTGTCCAGGATAAGCAGGGACAGTTGTTTGCTGGTCCCAGTTGCAGTGAAGCAGCAGAAGAACAAACCCACACCCCCATCTATACCCAGGGTCCTAGGCAGGCTTGTCCCGCCACACCTTCACCACCATTGGGCATGAGCCAGTTTAAGCCGACACAGGCATGCCCAGGCATATGGCAGCCACATCCCCACCTGCAGTGCCAACAAGCACCCTGCATCCGTGCGTAACCCACCCCCCTCTCTGGTCCCTCCGGCAGGCTCAGATGCCATCATCCGGCAGCACAAGGCTGCCTGCTTGCGGATCACAGCGCTCCTGGCCTGCAAGGACTTGCTGTGGATTGGCACGAGCGCCGGAGTGGTGCTGACACTGTCCATCACAGCCAACGCCTCCATCTGGAAGATGCCGCCGACACTGGTGGGCTTGTCCCAGGGCCACACGGGCCACGTCCGCTTCCTCACCTCCATCGAGCTGCCGGACGGCTTTGACATCCTCTTCCCTCTGCCAAGGGATCCAGGTGGGTCTGGCTTTGCCCAGAGCCAGGAGACCAGCAGTCAGTGTAAGGGCAGGCTCCAGCTAGGAGCCCTTACTTGGGTCCTACCCCCAAAGTCGCCCCATCGGGTGGCTGCCCTGCAGGGGGAAGGTGCTGCTCACCAGAGGCAGCAACCAGTGCCCACGTGTGAGCACCACCCCCCGCAGCCAGGGCTTTCCAGTGCACGTGCGCCCAGCACGGGATGCTCTTGAGGGTCTGGGTTTACAAATGGGCACATCTTTGTGTTTCAGGATGGGCTGCCTAAATCACCAGCTGCTTCAGTCTTCCAGCTTTGGAGGAGAACCAGGCAGTCCCGAGGCAGTGGGTGGGGTTATTATGGTTGGTGTGAAAGGAAACAGGGAGGTGTGAGGGCCCCTCTATCCACATCATCTCAGGTGGGATCCCTGGCTTGATCTCCCTGGAGTCTCACCTGGATCCTGTTGTCTCTCAGGTACTGAGAAGCCAAGCGAGGTGGAAAAGAGGGACTCGACAAGGCACCGGGCCTCTAACATGGCCCTGTCCAAATCTAAGATGCTCGTGATCAGCGGCGGGGACGGCTACGAGGACTTCCGGCTCACCAACAGCAGCGAGACCGTGGGGCGAGACGACAGCACGAACCACCTGCTTCTGTGGAGGGTCTGATCAGCCCCTGCTGTGGAGGGAGGAGCGCCGGCTCCAGCCCTGCCGATCACGGACACTGTCGTGGCCTCCCGGTCCCATCGGCCCCTCGACCCCTCTCCCCACGCATGTTTCGTCACCTGCCTTGGAGGCTCCAGCCCGCATGTGGGCCACGTGCCGCCCAGCGGAGAGGGCCAGCGGCAGCAGGGAGAGAGGAGCCCCATCGCGAGGTACCGTGTACAGACCACATTGCACAGCCTGCGCTTAACCCCGCCCGCGTGTATGTGTATCCGTGCCTGCGGGGAGAGCTGCACGGAGAGCCCGGGCTTCTGTGGCATTGCCCCAAAGGGGCCGTGAGGAGGAGGCGGCGGCAGCCGTCTTAGGGAGAGAGCAGGGAAGGGAACCCGTCTTCTGTGCCATAAACGAAGAGCACGGTAAACGCCCGGCCACTAGCTAAGGACAAACGCAGGCCTCAGACCCGGGTACACCCCATGGAGGGCAGCAGGCCACCCCTTTATCCATGCATCTGGCCAAGAGCCCCTCTTGCACCTCCGCCAAACTCGCTGCACA